CCTATTGGCTGAATTTGAAGCTATACCGTCATATCATTGGCTAAAAATTTGCCTTCATAATATGTTTCATCAGGTGCAGAAGATAAAAATCAACTAAAATCTGCTTCATTTAAAATTTTAGACTTCTTTAGAATCTATTTCTCTGATTTTCGCTTTAGAGCGATTTGCACCTATGTCAATGTTGTGTTTTAAATTGAGTATCCACTTCAACATTGAAAACTGGGACCATAGGGTTGATCATGCATATTTATTGAATAGTTCTTCAATACACCAGTGTTACGTTGTTGGAAAGTGATTTAACATTGTTTTTTCTCTTCATTTCATAAATTGTTCATAAAACGCTTCATACGTTTTTCTTGATGTTTAAGGTAAAAGAGAACGTTGTTATTTCTCTTTATTATTCTCAGCAGTGAATCGAAGCCAACAATTAATGATTTCGTCTTTTATTTCATCAAATTAATAATTTCAACAATTTTGGTTCTATCAAATGTGAATTTTGACAAGACTGTGTGAAAAATTTGATCACGGTTTTTGTACACGATATGTGCAAACAGTATGTTACAAACTGAGTTCGTCGTGTGTTTTTCATCATTCTATAGCAAAAATGTAGTGTAGAAAAAAATCGTCATGTTTGATGATGCATTATTGTAAAATTTACCAGAAGGAGAGTAGAAATGTAAGCGCATTGTAGTACTCAAGCTATTATCCATTCACGATCTTTATATAGTAAAGTAGGCTTTGGTATTTTTTCTTTAAGTTGGATAAACTGATTTGATGATTTAGTTTTTTGTCTGTCAGTAGTCTGATTGACATTTGCTTTGAGCTGGATTGCCACTTTTCTATTTCGTTTATTAGATCAGAATTATTACATGCAATTTTTTAATCAAGCAAACAAATGTTTTAATTTTGTCAGCATAGGTAATTTGTCATTGAAGACAGACCCGATCTTTCTTTCGAAAAAGTAACTATAAGGGTCTCAAACATATTTTCTGTAATGTGAAAATACGCTGTAAAATGTTTTTTAATTTTTTTTCTCATAGAAGCGAAAACCAGCGGATTTATTTGCAAATTATATGTTTCGGAAAGACCTGCAACGACAAATTTGGCAACTATATGAAAAAAACGAAAATATTTCACTGTAGATACTCTTTTGGCATATTCTAGGGAACAGTTGGAATTTAAAGGGGGCGAACCACATTATACAAAATTCTTAAGTCAATGGGTTATAAACACAGAGAAGTAAATGGTGGCAAAATTCTATGTGAACAAAAACATGTCGTTGCAGTCAAAATTACTTTTTTGAGAACATATTTACAGTTTCTAAAGTCTTGTGAAAATTTCACTTTCGTGTATTTAGATGAAACATGGATCTATCAAGATAGTTCATCCATTCGTAGTTGGGTGCACGATACTGATCTAAAAAGCAATCCCACCAAAATTAAAAGTGAAGGATCAAGGTTTACTATTCTCCACGCGGGTTGTTCAACGGGGTTCTTGGATGGTTGTAACAATTTTTTAAATTCAAAAAACAACGATAGAGACTATCATAAAACGATGGATGGGACAATTTTTCAAAATTGGGTGGTTAATCAGCTCATTCCTGCTTTGGCAAAGTTGAACCAAAAATGTGTGGTGGTTTTAGACAATGCACCGTAGCATTCGGTTCAGTTGGAAAAACCACTCACTTTTCTAGTAAAAAATTGTGAAGTGCAGAAATGGCTCTTTAAACATAGTGTTGAATTTGACAAAAAATTTTCGAAGAAACAGTTGTGGGATTTAATTCAACCCTTCAGAAACAATAAAAAAGAAAGTATTTGGTAGACGAGCAATTAAGAGAAAGTGGCCATGAAGTTCTTAGATTACCTCCGTACCATTGTGAATATAATCCAATTGAAATGGCGAAGGGATTTTGTAAGAACAATTACAAGAAGCATATCAATTCTCAACCTTCATTAAAAAATAGGATGGAGAATTTATAGCCTGAGGCACTTTCTAAATGTACTCCAAGCATGTGGCAAAATTTTTGTAAAAATTGTGAAAAACTTATTTTGGTAGATTGGGAAAAAAATATGGGAAATCTTTCTTACGAATCTATATCTCCTTTCATTATTTCGCTAGGTGAATCTGATTCAGAATCCGAATTTGAAAATGACGGTGATGATACAGATTTTCATAGCGAAATAATGGAAATGGAGTGAATTGTAGCTTGTTGGGGGTAATATTTTTACGCATCTTTCGTTCTAAATTTACCAAAGTAGTATGTGAAAAACTACTAACTCTTCATGGGCCTGGAGAAGGTGTATAGTAACGTTCTTATTAATAAGCGTTTGGAAATACTTAGTAAAAGCAAATAAATAGCACTTACGTAAGCATTAGTAATAGCTATATAGATAAATCCTTCAATTTAAGGCCGGAAAAATGTTTCAGAAGAGCTAAACCCATCAAAGCACTAGAGCAAGGTTGTTGTGTTTTACCAACCCTTTTAGTAATCTTAGAAAAGTGAAAAAAGAAGTTGGAAGATATGGAAATAGGCTGTTCACAAAGGTCGAAATTTCCATTTCTAAGACGAGTGGGCGAGCAGAACGAACTGATGATTGAGAATTAAAGATGAGATGCTAAATGTGGCATGCGACAATAGTCGTATGTGGAACCCCCATTCATATAAAAACAATGTTTAAGTGAAATTTTAGTGTTTGTTCCTTAGATATGAAATAAACACTTACAAAAAGCCGAATAACTGTTTTAAATAGCGTAAAGTTTTATGCTTTCTACGAAATGGATACCGTTAACTTGGTCATTTCTACTGAAAACTGTTTATATTTCTGGCATATTTTTTAATTTAGTAAAACATAACCTTACGAAAAAAGTTCAGGGAATTTTTATTCTTCTGCATCGAATAACAACAAACTCGCTAGATTTTCATGGCCAACCCTACTATATAAAGATCGTGAACGGGTAATAAACAAAGAGAAGCTTAATTCAGAAAATAGTGGATCAAGCGACTATGCGGAAACAATGCATAAGGGACATAATGACTTGAAGTTTTATAATATTCACCTACAAGAACAAAACCTCCTGAAGCAATCTGGAAAGCTTTTAGGAGTTTTGAGTTTTACATGATAGGTGTACATCTATTTCAAGAACATCCTCTATAAATGAAATATTTAATTATACCTATTTATACCAACGGGCAGAAACACCCAATTATAAGAAACAATTAAATAGGAAGCAATAAACAAATTTATACTCAGGAGGTTGTTGATTTGTGATAGATTTTGGGCTCTTCCAACTCATGCTTAAGACCCTCTACGGATGACGTAAATTCCGTACGAAGATCAGTAATCAACATTTTTATATCTTTAAAAAACACATTGCGTTTACATGAATTAAATAGTAGTTTGAAAGCTTTCGATTTAGAACGTGTAATTGTGATATCTGGTTCTGTTGGTCCACCACCCAGCATTGTGTGTGAATAGACGATTGATATGTATCGCACTGTATAGTTGAAGCGTTTGATTCAATATTTCCACTACAGTTCCTACATTTACTCATGATTATTGGTGAAAATAGGAATTAGGTAATAGGCAAAATAAACAATATATATTCACAAAAATTATGAATAGGGACACCAGCTACCCACATTCGGGACCTATCGAGGTGACTGACGGACGATACTGTAGGACCACGGGAGGCAATTTTGGGATTAAAGAGAGGAATAAAACCAGCATGCCTATTCCGGGCGTTATATAAAATTATTAATGAAGAATCGAGATTAAGACATGTTTCAGAAGGTTTTTAGAAACATGGAGTAATATTTAAATATGAGTTTTGAGATAATCAAAACCATTTTTTAACAAGGTATTGAACTTCTTATAAGTTGCATATATTTAAAAAAACGTTAGAAGGAGGAGTGGGTCATTGCTTCTGATCTATCACCAACGTTGTGCCCTGTGACCTTTATCTTAACTCGACACTAAAAAAGTTTAAAACCGCCCTTTTACAACAAAATTAACGCTATAAAGACTTTGTAAACGAGAAAAATCTACACCCACTCACCCACTACTAGAACTAATTGACCCTGAATTTCAGCAAGCATAGAACACCGTTTGCTAAAATTCCAAGTTGTATTATTTTGCTACTGTTGCAGAACCGTCATAGCTTTCCTGAACATCCCCTAAATTATATGATACACCAACTGAACGAAAATGGTTAAATAGTTCATTGACTTACAAACGATATGCATACCTAAGATGTTTCATTAGTGGAGGACATTGAGTAAACGCCCACTACTGTATATATATATACAAGTCTGAGCGAAACGTATTAGTGGGTAGTGAGATCCAGCAAATTACACCTTGCATATTAAAACCTCACGAGCAAATTCAAAACAAGAGGCCTTAGGAATGTGAATAACAATATTTTTTAGGAAAAGTAAATATTTACATAAATTGATAATTTTATACGTAAACCCGTGAAGTTCTGACGTTGTTTATTTTCACAATAAATTGCACATTGTATATTTAATAATTACTGGTTTCGGCACTTTGGAGTATTTTGTATGAAATTTGAATTATCCAACCAGAATATAATTAAATACGAGGCTGTTGGCAATTTACAAATCGGATAATTTTGTCATCGACCACAACATGCAGCTATTCTGTCCGCTTGCAAAGGGCTATTAGGATCGATGTTTACCTAAAATATTAGCCTTTGTTTTAGATTTAATGGGTATTCACAGGCCTATAATTCACTGGCTGGCTCACTTCGGTTGTGCCTGGAGCGAACAGATAAAATAACAGGTCGGAGGTCTATAAAAAAAAGAATGCGTATCTTTTAATAATGCAACAGCGTAAAGACATGGTTCTGCTATTGATCAACTGCTTAAAATAAAGGTTTTGTAAATCAATTTGTGATTGATTTCATTTTACTGTCACCTCCACAATAGGCGAAGTCAAACTCTATATTTAAAAGATAATAATAATAGGAAATGTCATACACACCTGTTCTGCACTTTGCTCCTCTATGACAAGTTTCATTTCCAATGATTGTCTAGTTTCGAGAAAAGCTCGTCGCTGCTGTTTATCTTCAACTAGATACGAAGTGAGTCCTAAGATATTTGCAGTCACGAGCAGGATACAGTTGGAGACTTGCTGTAACATCAATTTAATTATTAATAAAGACATTTTACATTAATAAAGTTTAGTTTAGATAATGTCAACTTCACACATAAATTTTAAATATTGATCAACACTTTGTAACCGTATGTGCAATGTAAATTTCCTCTGCGAAAACGAACGATTTTTTAATGCTTGGAAATACATTATAATTGTGCAAAAAGTTATTGAAACAAAGCTGCGGAAATGTCATCTCTGTTTACTCATTATGCAAATGTTTAATTTTCGTTACTTTCGGCAATGTTCTTTACGCTTTTTATGTAGGCTTTTAAAACGAAGCTTTACATCTCATTAATAATTCAAACGTCGATGTAACTAAAGGAAGATAACGATGAGTTACAAATAGATTTTCATTAAAGATAAACGAAATTAGTGTCTCGCTGTACTTTAACTCTTTGTCGCTGATACGAAAAATTTATGAGTTTAATATCGCTTAAACTAACTTCTAAGATATCCTCCTATCTTCCGTACATTTAGGTCGCAGATTACTCTTTACGAGATCGATGGCACGAATTTTATCTAAATTTAGCTCAAAGAAAAAAGTAAAAGGAAAAAAATCCAGTGGTTTTTTTTTAAAGAGCGTAAAGTATACATTTTAAAAGTCAAGTGTGATTAACGTCTTTTTTTGTGGCTTTGAAGGTTTAGCGTGTCATGACTCATGAGTACAGTGATAAAAAAGAGTTGTAACATTATTTCGGTATGATAAAAATCGTGTTATTTTTAAACTTACGGAATTTAATATTAAATAGCATTTAATTTGACATTTGATGACCCCTACAGTTTGACAAAGTAGCTCTCCCGCTTGCGTCTGTCTAATTGTCTATTTGTCTCTGTCGTTATTATCTAGAGCATTTTAAAAATTTTCGGCATTATATTTTCCCGAAATTTTGTAGATACAACATTATCATTATCAATATTGAACTGTATCAGCCTATTCAAATTGATATATATGACATGATGACATCATCACAAAACTTTATTATGAAAAAATCACATGAAACACATGCATAGCATGCTTCTTTATCTACTGTTAAGTGTTATCATACAAAAAAAAAAAAAATTCGCAAAATCTAAGTTCATAACTGGATTTGCTTGACTGTTTTCATCGCGAAAGTTCTGCATAAATAATCTTAAACCAATTCTTGTTCTAAGAATTAATGCTGCATCTGATTACGTCTCATAGGGACTTAAAAAAAGACATAAATATTAATTCTGTACACATTTACCTTTCTGGAGCTGAATCACTAAAATGTGAGCTTACGAATATACACCAAATGTAGTTTTTAACTGAATATTTTTTAGGCAATGTTTTTAGCAACGCATATATTTAATATTTTAGCGACTATTACATTTTCTAAAGCAATGTATAAAAGCTAAAGAAGCAACAATAACTAGAAACATAAACTGAAACTGATTTGTGAAATGCTAAAGTAACTATTAAAGTTTAAATAAGACTATATTTGATTTAGGTTCAACGTGTACTCCAGTTGCCAAGAGTTGTACTAAAAAGAAATTTAATTTAACAGAAAGTGGTGAAACTTAGAAATCACTAAGCGACCATTAAGTTTTAAGACGTAAGTAGTAGTAGTTTGCCTTTAATCTTTGGGGTTCCGATAATGCTATTAAATTTTGGTAATAACTTCTAAAATCCGCTAACGACTAAAATTACTAAGCCTTATAACATATATAATAGAAATATGGCAAAACAAATTGCTTATTTTCCTTTTTTTTTTGGCTTTTTCGTTTTCATTTTTTTATGTCCTATCTACTGTGTGCCTATCAAAAGTTTGTTAAAAATATTTTAAATACAGTTCAAGATTATCTTGAGGACGATAAAAGTCAAAAACTCATCTCTAAATATTTTTTAATATACCTATACATTTTTTTTTTTTGAAATCCGACGAACAACTAAATTCATGTTTTCTCGACGTTTCATAACCTCTAGCGTACACAAAAATATATCTGCAGTTTCCGTCTGTCTGTCGTTTGTCCGTCGTCTGTCCGTCATCTATATGGTGTCTGTCTGTCGTTTGTATGTCGTCTGTTCGTCGTTGTGTCGTGTTGTGACCGTCAAAATATAAATCCGTTGGTAAAAAATATTATCGTAATTTTTTAATTACTAAAAATAATCATTTACAACAAATCGTTAATAAAAAGTTTCTCCGTTTATGCCACCTCCTCTCTAAAAAGATGACGTCATCTTAAAATTTTGCTGAATAAATGTTTTTCAAATTTATGAGTGTTTACGCTAGACGCACGGAAAAAAATTGAATGTGTTGAATTAATTAATTACTCCTCTCCCCTCTAAGAAACAAAAGAAAAATCTGAATGTGCTAATAGTGGAATTCTTTCGAAGTATAAAAAATATAAACAATCGAAGTTAAGCATATGCTGATAAAATGAGAATACATTTTTTATATTTTATATTGTCCGCACTTCTTTGCTGGATTTTATTTACACTATAAAATCAAATTTTATAATTTTTCAAAGAAGCGGGATTTGTTGAATTGTGGCTCAAGAGCGAAGGATCTTTTGTGGAAATAATCTTAGACCAACTTTTTTATAATATTGATAATTTTTCTAGGCAACACGTAACTTATCCTGTCCATGTTCCAAGTAAAATATCCTGGAAAAAATATAGCTTAATTAATATTGATAAAGGACAATGAAGAATTTTGCCGTATTGTTGTAAATCTGACAATGAACACAGCAGGAAACAGGACTAAGTGGAATTTGGCATTATTCTAACCATTTACCACAATTTAAAATTTCATTAATTATAAATTTTAGTTGGCCTATAATCCTGTTTCATAATGCTGTCAACCACATTTATTCAATAATTACTTAACTACGAGTATTTACCATTATTGTCATTCATCTAGTTTGTCGGACCCTTGTCGTCTTAGTTTATTAAATCCTAATCGTAGCATTGAAGAGGATCCTTTGTAATGCTGCGACATCCTTGTTAACAGTGAAGTGAAACTGTTATAATTCCAAAAATTGGGCAAGCTCTGAACTCTGCTTTAGAAGGCTAGAATTTCGACAAGAACAATATTAGCTTCAAGAAGTCGATAATTTTTATCGTCTGACTACATTTTCTCACAGCGGTGAATTAGCTTACTAATATGATAATAAGTTGTCTGATGTTTAATGCAAATGTGATATACGTAAACACGTTAGATCCTGTGGGCGGAACACTGCAAACAAAAGCGAATTTTCTTCGCTCGAAGAGTTAAACTAATCCGGCAAAATGCTGTAGCGAATTGAGAAAGCTGGAACAACTGCGAAAATCGTAACAATTTGTGTTCTGTTACTTGATTGTTTATAATTGTAAATACAGTTGACAACACAAAGGAACAAATTGTGTTAGGAGTATTTGTCAAAGTAAAATTATTACGAAAGTAAAATAACCGTAAAGTTGTAATTACTGTATGTACTTTATTGTATAACACAACCAAAATTGAATGACTCGTCAAATGACGCAGTGAAGTTTTTTAGTATTTGTCTGAACATGTAAAGGCTAGGTAAATTTTGCAAACCAGTTTTTACAACCTTCTTTTGGTACTAATAATTTTAGAGTCAACGGACACTTGTTTGAATTATGAGACTTTAAATTCTTGATACTACGTCCTACAAAGCGCAAATACTTTTCGTTCCGTTGAAGCATCAAATGTAAATATATTAATAAATAAATAACATATATGGAAGCTTCAACTGAAGGTCAATTATTGTGGAATATTGACTGCCATAACGAGAAATTCTGTTGACCTCACAAACATTCATATTTTACTGTCAAAATATAGTGGCTGAAGAAGGTCTACTTATGACATCAGTTTTAGTGTTATTGTCATTCACGATGGCGATAAATATACCTTATCGGCGGCAATAAATATATGATTACTATTGTTGGAAACATACATTTTTATTTTGTTTGGTTTATTTGAGAATCAGAATTTACACAAGCGATTTCGTTCTACTAAAAATTTCATAAGTTTATGTTTCCTGTCTTTTAAACAGTTAAATAACCTAAAAATTGTCTTCAAGATGATGAAACGTTAATCAAAAATTGCTAAAAACCACCAAACAATTTGTTTGAAGAGAGTTTTTGCCCATAAGATTTCAGTACATGAATTTCAGTTACTTTCTGAAGGTAGAATCAGTTTTCAAAAAAATAGTAAGATTGTAACTTGTGGCGAATTTAACATTCTGAATTTCACTTTGGTTAAAATAAACCAATTTACTTTTTACTCCTATTAACTTTAAATACATAATTTCCAATCTTTCCTTAATATAGTCCAGCATAATAATGCTCAAAATAAATATCACTATATTCTTGATCTAGTTTTCTCTAATACTGAATGTAAAGTCGAAGCTTCTAATTATAATTTGAAGGGGCGGCACAAGGGCACGTGCCTGCCCAAAATTACAACGTCTGCAAACACACTGGCATAGGAAACCAGTAATTTTCAATATTTAAAAAATTATTCGGAAATTTGTCATAATCATAAATATCAAAACAAATTTTTTTATCTCGTTTCACTTGAATAAAATGTATCAAAACCTACATCTAAAGATGTTGTCTCTTGGATGTATGATATGTTATTGCTGATAAAGTGCTGATAAAAGCCGAGACGGAGACCAAATCATGGCTCATTTAGACGTTTTGTTTACACCGTAGCCATGGAAACCTAGACGCACGGTCGCGGTATTGAGCTGGAATCGGGTCCTGTTCCGACAGTGCCCACCAGCACTAACTCAACTGCGGGTTTTAATTTTCATTTTTCGCGAGTGAAATTGTTTGATTTTAAATAAAAATAATCAGTTCGGTTGAATATTTAATAAAAAATCGTCCTGTGTTACACAACGATAAAATGTTAGTGAAAAATTTTAGGGAGAGCCACCCCCGCTTTATTAATAAAAAAAGTGTTCATGGCAAAACGAGAGACTTTCATAGATATTTTAATAGACGTAACACG